TACTGCCATGTTCACTACAGTATACACAACCTTAGTGAGGACAAAGCTTGAGAACTGCGTTCAGGCTACAAGCCCATTTTAAGAAGTGCCTCGGATATCCTGGAAAAAGTACAGAGGGAAGCTACCCGTGCAATTTCAGAACTCCGTGGTTTACCGCACAAAGAGCGGCTTGAAAAGCTAGGCCTCTCTACTCTGTCTTATCGCAGTTTAAGACATGATCTGATCTTGATGTGTAGAATACTAAGAAATGATTCTGGACCTAATATATCCTTTTTTCCCACTAAGAATTCTATATTGTTCGAACATATTCAATAATGCCACTATTATTACTATTTTTTTTTACCATTGTTAGTTAAGACTGCCGTTACCTAGCTCCCACACTTAACATATATAAACTTAGGATACTGCCTATTTTTATTGGTAAAATAAATATATTTAATTCATAACTGTTATTTATTCAGTTTACAGTCTTATTCAACAATGAACTCAGGATGAACTTTAGTGCCCTATTTGCAAATATAAAAAAATCAGAATGCCCATTGTCTCTTCTGAAGAGCTATGTAAATGATGGCGTTGTGCTAAAGGACTTCAACAAATGCGAGGAAATTGGTTCACTCGTTTGCTTTCTCGTGTCTAAAACATATGGGCTTGGCCTCAAGATACTCCTTGACTGTGGTTTGGATATGTCTGCTAGTGTAAGTTTGCAGTTAGTATTTTTATTGTTACCATATTATTAAAACCGGAAAATTCAAATCAATTAATAATTTAATACTATATGTTGTTACCTATTTATCCAAATGGTACATCTGACCTTCACTAACGAAATACACGTTGTGGCTTAATCTATAAATGTTTCTAGTAAAATCAAATATTATCAAAATACGAAATGTCACCGCAAAGGTCCTAAGCATGTAGCTTCTTTATCATTTGTAAGGTCTGAATTATCCCGTTATCGATATTGAAGACTGCATTTCAATCAGTCTTTGTTGACACATGTGAATCTTGTTGGGTTCGCCCCAATGTAACCAAAGTATCACAAGTTGTATGTAGAATAGATTAAACGTCCTTAGCAATGTAATCCACGTTTCGTTCTAGTATTTTTTTTTAAATGAAAGAACATTTGGTATTCATTTGTGCATTTTGTTAACGTTGTTTATTTAATTCAGCATCACATTACTGGAGACACACCATTGATCATCCTTTGCAACGAAGGTTTATGTGGTGCAACGAAACAACTAATTGACAAATTAGAACCAGCTAGTCTATTTCATTCCAACGTCATTGGATTAACAGCTATAACACAATTGCTCTGTCGCGCTCACGGGGCTTGCAACTGCTTAGAAAGTCTTCTTTCACATCTGTGCCTTTGCAGTGCTCTTTTACCAGTTGACTTGCGAATGAACAGTCATACACGCAGCATGAGTAGTATGGGACTTTTACATTCAGAACCCTTATTTGAAAATGATGAAGGAAGTCAGGTGTTATTCACTGTTGATCAGCTACTGGGACGCATTAAGTCAGATAATAGTGAGCGTATCATCTCTGTATTACAACTGTGGATAAAAGCAAATCTTCTGCGTTTAACGTACAGTAAGTTTATTACAGCACTTCTCGAGTAAGGCGATTCCACTTTTTATTTTCGGCTTATAATCAAACGGGTAAATTGATGTAGGTGCATGTACAAACTTGTGATCTCTATGTACCCGCTCTTTTTAGCACACTGTGAGATACTCAACGAGTAAGATACTAAAAATAATGTCAACAATATTGGAGCACCAAAAGCAGCGACCAATGTAGGTGAACGAAAGCATAGAGTAATAAAATATAAACACGTTTCTGGAGAATGTAGTAATTGGGTATGAGTAAAATATACTCAGGTCGCTTCAGTCAAGTTTACAGTACTAACTGATTTACCACCGTAACCTTAGTGCTCTTAATCTAAAGTCAGCATTTGAAATCCTCGTATTTCCTTTGTTAAACATTACTGTCGTTTCAATGCTGACTGAATATCCTACTGGACTGTAAAGGGTTGAAAATTTAATTCATGACCCATGATATACCTCTTTAATTTATCCTTGTGTATGTCTTATTATGACGCGTGAACAAAAATATTTCCTTTCGGTACGTTATACTACTATAACACATTAATATAACCAAGATTGAGATTTAAAGCTATACAGGCTGGGACTACGTTTTACTAAATATACGATTCACGGCAAGAAATAGATTACCAGAATGTAAGCCAATAGTTTATTTAACACAATTACGCGCAGTCTATACTTTGATTCCAGAGTGAAAATCAGTGATGGGAAAGATACCACTTATTTTTAACAGTAAGAAAACTGTGTGTCAGTTCATGCTCAGTGGCCAATCACATCTTACCTCCATTTACCACATATCAATCTTTGACATAGGCTGAGAGATACTTTCCAGTCTCAATAGTTCGATATCTAATGAGACAAGACCATGAACAAAGTTCAAGCACGTAGTCTGGAAGAAATACCAGTATTTTATTGATCCTCTAGATTAGTAACAACATTCATATAATCTCTCTCCCCACTGTTGAGTCGACATATGTTTCTCTTTATGCTTAAAGTTAGCGTCTATGTATGTAATTAAGTCACCTGTTAAAATAACTGGGTAACCTTCAACTCGCCTGAACTCCAAATATTGAGGAGTAAGTACAATGCTATCAGATTTAGCTGTAACCAGAGAACTGTCAGGTGAATTCCAATCCAGCAGTGGATGTTTTGCTTGTGAACTTAATGCATGATGTACATATACAAAGCCACAAACTATTCCCATCAAACTGCCAGATGCTCAAATAACCACATTTAGGCCTTCTATGCGAATTTCGCGAAACAAAGTCACGATTAGGGAACTAGAGTTTTGGTTAGTAAGTTTCACTATTTTACTTGATATAACATTCAAAAATAGAAGAACAGTTTTACGAGATTATAATATTAATTTGCAGACCATATTGTTAGTACTGGTTGGAAAAACACTACATTGGACAAAGCGGACGCCCCCTTCACCTTCGCCTACATAAACATCAATTAGCAGTCAAACGGCATGATATCTCTTCACTTATATCAATACATGTGGACAACTGCGGACACTCATTCGATTGGAAAAATGTGGAAATCTTAGACAGAGGAAACTCTAAAAGCACCAGAGAATTTTTAGAAGCCTGGCACTCAAGTCAATCAGCAATCAACAAGCATATTGAAATCAATCCAATTTATCAACCAATCAGAAAAATCATGCACAAACATAAGAACAAAAATCAAAACAATCGGAGACAACCAAAACAAAGAAGTAAACAACGACAAATTTAAGGTCAATAAGAACCAATCAACGTCGAGGTGCACAGAACAAGCTTTGAGACACATATGGAGAAATTCAAACACTTCATTTCTATCTGAAGTTTGTGCTGATGATGTCGTTCAGAAGAACGATGAAAGCTCCACGACCAAACCATCCAGCTCAGAGAACAAAACTCCACCAAAAGTAACTTAGTAAATCTGGCTATCGCAAAATATAGGATATTATGGCGTAAGGAGTAATAAAGTTGGATTGGTAAAAAATATTTGTAGCACACGGAGGTAAATTAAAATTTGTAAATTCCTATTCAAAATCTCTTATCCATTGTTGTAACTTTGAGACATTGCAGTGAAAATTAATTTGATATTCTTTATTCATAAAAGCAACTGGAGACAGTTCTATGCAGAATGAACAATTGACATGCAACACAAATGTTTTGGGAGAAAAGCTTCTTAGACCTTTGCTGTCATGTGTTTTTTATTCAAACAACATTGGATCCATAATGAATAAACTTGAAATACTGATTTGTCAATTGCTTATCTTAGGCCAGTTACATGGATGCCTTTTAATTGATAGTATAACTCAGTCAAATCCAGTAGACTCGAAAAACCAATACTTGAATAATATGTAAGTTTACTGAGTGCTAACTTTTTCTGAAGGTAATTTAGTGGGTGTAATTGATGTTTTAATTTGAACACTCTATGGCGTTAAGATGGAAAGTAAAGTTTAATTACAAACGCTTGATGAAACTGTGTATGGTAAAATAGAGAAAACTATCCAACCACTGACTACCAAGTTACAGGAGATTCTTCAAAACATTTTGGGAATAATCCACATAAAGAAACAACAGGATGAAAAGCTCATCCTGGATCCACATGCCATCTATTTTAGACAATTAATGAAGTGACCAAATTTATGCTCGACTGACTGAATTCAGCAACCTGATTCGAATTTAATACTAGTGGGAGGGGAAATCTTTACTGTTTATTCGCTGGGATGCAAATGTAAATTATATTTGTGTTAAAGGTAGCGAAATTGTTGCTGTAAACTCACTTATTCCACACCACTTATTAAGTTTTTGCCATTCAGTTTTACTTTCTCCTCTTCTTAATATTCACCTAGTTTTTCTTTCAGTTAATTCATCGATAAGTTCGAGCAGTTCATCTGCTGGTCAGCTAGCTAATCTTTTACTATTGATTTGAAAAAAAGGGCTGTGGTCAAAACTTATATGGATTTTCTAACACACTGAGTTTAAAACCTATACTAGCTATTAAAGAAAGTGAAGTATTGTTAGCAGATTCATGATACGTCAGTATATACAATCTTACACAGTAACTAATACTATTGGTTTGTTTTACTTTGAATTTCATAGCTTAGAAGACATACGATGCCATCTGAATGCACCACTAAACTTAAGACTTCTAGGGATACGTGCAATCCGTCGAATTTTACAGTACCGTTTTATATTAATTTGCCAGATGACTGATAAGTATAATTCGCTGATAAATGAAAATGCACTTTCGTTTGTAACATGGGTTGACCAATTACCTTTACCAAATATCATCAAACAACATATTCTTTTAAATCCAGTGACCTTAAAAACTAGTTAAACAAACAACTTTGCCCTTATTTTTTTTCTTTGGTTCGTGCATTTCGATTTTTTAAAACTTATTATTAAGTAAAGAAGGTTTTTGTGTTTTCGATAAAAATGCAATAAACATATGTACAGAATAAAATTGAAATAAATTTGTGTTCTGGTGTTCTTATAACTTCTGGTTAGTCTCCACATGATAGAAATTGATAGTACCAGATTGTGAATCTAAAAATAAAGTTAATTGTAGATCATAAGTGTTAGAATATAATCTGCTTACTTGTATATTCATGAATACTTTAAATACTGTGTAAATAGTATGAAAAGTACACTTAACCTTCGTACACAAACAATCCTTGCGAAACATTGATTTAAGCGGTTAAAATGTATTAAACATGCTGAGTCGCTAGCTAATTTGACCGTGCTGTACTAAAATAAGAATCGGTTGGTGTAATGCTAAATACGACTAGACCAATACATAATACTAATCGATGAGGCTACTTACCCAGTGTATGTAGTTCGCAAAAATACTTTGGCCAATATGCTGCTGATAAATAACTTCTATGCACAGCTGAACCCAGTACGTAAACTAAATAGCTAATTCTCACAAAACAACGTGATACTTTGATGTCCTAAGTTTATTGAGGCGAAAGGTTATAAACATCCCGAATCGCAAAAGTTCTACTAATAATAAATCCTATGGATATATTTTGCATACCTACTTTATACGTGATACTTTCTAACGTATACAGAAACTCTTTACTATCTAAACGATGTCGAGTTACTGACTGATCGAAAGTTGAATGCTACCACCGAATGCGAATACTGAAACCACGTATACCATTCGAAATGGCTTCCTTCAACGTTTGCACACTAATGCAGATCGGACAACAGATAGGAGTGGCTATATCTTTAGAATGTCTCACTATCGATGTCTGTTTTCTGTCCGAGACCCGTGCTCAAGACTAATAAAGTCCTACAAATTCTCTCTCCATCTGTCACTTCGAAAACCTTGTTTCACGTGCGTTTATCCGGGCGCGCTGTGGCATCTCCATCCAGTTTAGCTGGCGTTGATGTCGTACTAAGTGCTAGAGCTGAGGCAGCATTGATCGATTGGATCCCCATTAACAGTCGGTTATGTGCTGTTAGATTAGAAAGCTCCATCAAAGTAAGAAAAAAATAGGTGTGAGGGACGATGTTTTTTCATCATCTCTACCTAAACTCTGACAGATTTCAGCCCACATGAAACCAAGGATGAGTTTTACTACCAGTTAACTGTTCTTCAACAGAAGATGCTCTCGACGGATATTTTAGTACTAGCCAAGAGACTTGAATGCTCAGGTCGGGCGTTTAGACACAGAACAGAGTTGTTTAGGTTGTCGATGGGGACTTGATGGTTACATGTCAGATAACGGTCACTGTTTATTGCAAATTTGCGCAGACTACGACCTGTTTCTGACTAACACTAACTTTCAGCACAGTCGTCCTTGATGTTCTACCTGGCGTCTTCCCATCACATCGCGTTCAACTGCCGCTGGCGTGGTTGTGTACAAAACTGCCACTCCTTTTTGAGTACCTACCTGGACTCTGATCATGTCCTTGTTTGCACTAATCTTACCTTACATTTCAGTGGCCAACAAATCCATCGTCCTAAACAGATCGATGTCAGCAAATTGCTCGCAGCTCCTGTTGCAACAAAATATCAAACCGAGCTGAGTTCAAGACTAGCTATCAACCAACCGAAAAGTATAGATATGTGTTGGCTGAAATTGCATGACACCATGAAGAAGGCTAGTAAATTCACTTGCGGCTTTGAAAAACGTCCTGCCTATGAGCACTGGGTTTCTACAGTTTCTTACAACTCATTGAAGCATGTCGGTCTACTCCGGGTGACCGTGAGTTTAACCATAAATGAAGACTGTTACGTAATGAAGTTGTGCAAAGCTTGTGTAAGGTCATATAAGCCTGGTGGTTGGAGCGTATCAATGAGTTGGAAATTGTAATTATTTCCGGTGACTGCCAGAAGCTCTTTCAACTCATCTTAGTCACTGGTAGCAAGAGGTCTGGTGTGAGTGAAACAATCTGTAAAGCTGACGAGATGCCAATCATTAACATCCACCGGTGTCTTGAACGATGGGCAGTTTTTCGAGGAGGAATACAGTTAGTCTGCTGCTCCGGCGACGTCGATTACACTGTTTTACCCTTCATGGTATGTTACGACTAATCCATCTAATAAGGCAGAACTCTGCAAGTAACTCCAACTTTGAAGCTCTACAAATGACCAGGACCAGACGACTTACCTCCGGCCCATCTTAAAGATGTTGGCGACTTTGTAGTTGAGGAACTAACTGACTTGTCTACAAAAATCTGGTAATTAGTGTTCCAACACTGCAATGAGTTTTTCCTATCTTTAAAAAGGGTTCAATTTGTTTTTGCAACGACTATCGGGGGATGCGTCTATTTTAATCATCTTTGAGCCAAGCTTTAGCTGTATGAGGGCTAATTATACTACGCAGAAAGCCAAAGTAGGTAAACTGGATTTTGTGCTGGCGACCGAATGGATAGAAGTTGCGTACTTTTACCATTATAGATGAATAAACTAAGATAGCAATCCACTAGGTAGTGTGGAACTTTATCATCAGTAAGGCTTGCTTCCACACAAAAAAAGAACTAGATTTCCGGGAGTACTGTGTGTGTGTGACAGGAGTTTACGAGAGCTTACAAAATTAATTCTTCGAATGTCAAGCTATAAAAGTAGTCGCATGACCATTAAGCAGCTTAAAAACTTACCATATGACGCCGAAAGGGTGTATGCCTCACCCTGGTAAACGAATTCGATGATAAAGGTTGGTTCATCTGCATAGCCACGAATAAATATTCCATTGTACAAGCACCACATTATTAAGTCATGGGTTGAAGCACCAGATCCCATTCCTTTTACATTAAAACAAAGCATCCAGTGAGATGTGTTTCATAAGAATTGAAGTGTAAGTTTGTAAAAATTCTTTCTATGTAATTAAATTTCATTTTCATTGGAAATAGTTTAAGTTCCCTCATTTCTTATCAAAGTATAGAATGTTTCAGCTATCCATTTTAATTTCACAAAATTCAAGCAATAAACATCTATAACCAACTTCCTGAAGGTTAAAGAAGAAGCGAATGCAACAACTTTTTGTTTCATAAAACATCTCAAACTATTCACACTACTTAGGTTTAACAAGTTTAGTGTACTCGGGCTAAAAAATTATATCTGGAGTCTGGTATATTTCCTTTATTGACCAATTAAAGAATGAACAAGAAAGCCAAGGTCATAACACTCTTTAAAAGATGATAAACATGAGGCAATCCAACGCTGTTTTTTTTGAAAGAATTATATTCTCATCGTACTTCAAACAGATTAATCCGTTAGGAACTACAACTGAGAAAACTAGTTTTGGGGGCACTTGCAGCACAGAATAAGAATGTGATAAGTATAGGTTTTACACTAGAACAACCTTAATATGAGAATGAAAATAAAACTCATTTTCACAGTGTTCAGGAATAAAGTGATTATCGTAAACCCTGACAAAACCAGAATCTCGCAAGTTCTCACAAGCGTTCCGCTTACCTTCTACACAGATAGTTGTCTGTTGGGATTCAGGCTGGTTGGCAAATGCAGCTAAGTGAGCTACTAATGATTCTGATTCATCGTTGTCAAGATCTTCGTCATCATCTTCATTATCTATAGTATGCGTAGGGCTTAGTCGTCGACCTCCTGTTTGATATCCATTAGTGCTAGTTTGAAAAAACCTATCATTATTAACGATTGTCTTGTTGAATTCTGACCTCAGGTTTCTGTTATTTGAACTCTTTTCCAAGCGTTGAAGTGATGAAGCATCTAACTCCGAGTCAATATTTACGTTAGAGCTAACAAGTGGAAAATTGCAAACCATAATTAAGTTCAATAGATTAATGTAAATCTTCAATAAATTTGAAGCTTCTTGATACTTTAAAACTGTGTCACTTACTTATCTGCATTTAATGTTTCATTGATTACATTTTCTGGCAAAGCGACTAAGGCGTCCATTACTTGTGCCATCAAAGTTGGATTATTCACCTGTTCACCTGTGTCATTCAAAATGACTAGACCACTAGAACCGTCTTCATTAGACTGGTGATGAACATAAAGCGTTTCACCATCCGGAGTTTCAACTATCATCTGATAATAAAAATTATATTTATTTATTTGAAAATTGTGAGAAAAAGTTGGATGTCATGATTCTCAAATAATAAACTACACACTACATGAAAGAGTAGGACACTTCTTTAATTTTACTTCGTCCAATGAAAATATGAGTCAAGTATATTTTGAACACCGCACACTTTCGAAATAGTGAACACAAATACCCACCCCACTACTGGCTACTAACACTATTATCCATTATCGATTATAAATGATATATGACTACACAAAACAACATAAAATCCATGCAAAGAGCTCAAGCACTAACAGACGCTCACCGATTTACGTTCTATAACTAACGATGAGGGAATGAAAACCTTGACGTCAATTTTTTCTTTGGGTAGTGATAGTGACTTTCAAATATTGAGTATGAAGACTAACTGGAGTAAAAAAATCTGTCAAGGAAATCAGTAGAAAGAGCATCCTATCGACAACTTGCATAAGCAATGTCAGACATCAAAAACAAATTAAAACTTGTATAGGGGTCGAAAACTTGTTCAGTTTACTAGATCAATGAAAGTTTGGAAACAAATTACAAGCTGTCACTCTTATTCTCCGTTTTTAGGGTTGAAAACCGTTACTGTACATAAATCAGATCCTAATGACACATTTTTGAACCAAGGTATAAACCACCACTATTGTGAGAGCTATGGATGACGCAGCTATTGAAGTCGAGGTGACACTAGCGAGACACTGATTCGAATTACAGTGCTAAGCTAATAAGCTATCGTTCTGCATGCATTAAAACACAAACCTTACAGATATCAAACTTTTTTATCTGAACACTAACACAACTCTGTGAAGAAGTGAGACCTCATTGAACGAAATCACAAGATTTTGTACTAAGAGACTAACAATCGAGTGATGTTGATGACGAACTAAATTTAGCTCGAGATTTACTGCCACCTATAATGATGAAGAATATGGTGAACGTATTCCAGTGTGGAGTAAGGATTGATACAGCTGTTTGGACCACTACACACTACACTTCATACAACCTACTACCAGGCCAGTTATCATCAACACAGAGCCCGATACGACTGTGCACTACCCAAGGTTCTCAAACTAAATGACCAAAACGATACGACATTACGATGAATAGCGAAATAATAGTAGTATCAATAGGTAAGACATTAAACATTAGAGAATATAATTCCAAAGTGGATAGATTGGGTGAATAAAAAGTATGAAATTAGTGTAGAAAAATAAGACTGAGGGGAAAATAAAGGGAATGAGTCTGCACCATTGTGATCAGTACTAAGCTATATCACTCAATGTTCATAACCACTGGTTATTACACCGATCATACCGAGTAATCTGCGCCTAATGACACCGGTTCCGTCCAAAAACCAACGACTGCAGAGATTAATTCTGTCCTGCTTTGGGGGCCGCTAACTTCCTTTCAAACTAATCCTACATCAACGAACATTGTTTGTCGTGGCAGACGGTGGTTCAACAGACATACCAAAAGCCACAACCACCCAAGTCGATAAAGATTTACCATATTTATCTAGTGTCCCGCATTTAAACCACCAGAACTGATAAGACTTTTAAGAAGTGTTCAACACTCTCAGCCTAGGTGTCAAAGCAACACTTTGGACTTACAGGGAGAAATACATCTCAAATGCGCTTATATTGTTATCCAAGACGACCGAGAAACTGCAAGTTGTCAGCATCTGCACTAAAAAGAACTACATCATCTGTGTAGTTGGAGTCCACTAGTGAATCATTTGTTAGGAGATCAATCCCAGAAAAGTCAGACAAATAAAGCGTTATCTTTCAGAGTTAAATAAAAAATGGGGTTGTGCAACCTTGAACACTATTTGAAGTTAGCGATTCTGATGATAGTTCGATACAATTTTTGATCTCACTAATAGTGTTCTGGTAGAAAACCTTTAAGTAGACGAAAAACTTTTTTTGGCAGGTCTTTCTATGACAGAAATCACTACAAAACATGTAAGTCTACGGAGTGAGACACCACCTTTAAGTCAGAACATCCTGTTATGACAGGGTGTCGGTAAGTAGGCCTGTTCTAGAAACTAAAGAAGAGATGTGTGATCTACACATGCACGCCTAGACGTGTAATAAGCCCAGTTTTCTCGAATTCGTCATACACGAGCCATAATCAAGCACTAAATGATTATTGAGAATAAAACTCAACACAATATATTGATCAAACAAATACCACAATGGTTACCACAAGAGGATATCAGTCCTTTTTTATACACTGGAAAGACCAGTCATCAAGACAACTTAGATGGGATTATGTCCACTCTTCAGACTTTTGTCAAAATTTGTCCATCATCTTAAAGGATATCCAGACTTCGTCCACCAGGTTCCCCCAACCCCTCTCAATTCAGATTAGAGGGTCTTCCCGATATCGATAGGTGTTGGTGGCTCGTGTTGATCACCCATTTATCAAGGAATAGTATATAAACACAGTGTAAATAGCAAGCAAACTGTAATTCGCAATATCCTAGTCATTTTATCAACCTTCTAGAGGGGAGAGTAGATTACGGTCCCGTCTCTTTCGGGGATAATTCCATCAATACTTGACTTTTTAAAATGTTTCTCGGACGGGTTTGAAAAATTATCTTGTGTTTCCTGTCGCCAGAACTGTTCCATCTCTTGCTTTCACCACCTATCACAACTCACGATTATTGCGTACACTATATGTCCGTCAACGTTTAAGCTATCTTTGGCTACCGCGTTTTGAACCTGATGTGATGAGTTTCCGAGTTCCTGTCAATTCAGCAGACCACCAAAACCCAATGGTTCTTCACAACCTTTTGGTTCAAATGATTGATAGATAACAATACTATTTTCACGGCTATTCGAATACCATGGTAGACTAGAGAGTGACTATTACCTTCATGGTTTACTAAGCAGATAGCAGTAGTAGTAGTACAATATAAAAAGCAAGCATTTCAGAGAAAATTTAAGGATGAAAGTAAAGATTACACGGCTTACAACATCTCTTGGACAATCTTCATCCAAAGGCAATAAAATATCACCAGATAAATTTGGTTTATTTTTAATATTCGGAATAGAATCTGTATTATCTGCCTGTGTTGACTGTGATAATGAATAAGGAGTGGTTTGGGCTTCCGAATTTTCACCATGAAGATTGACATTTGTATTTTCACTTAATTCAGTTTTCCATATTCGTTTATTAGAACCACTGTGACCACTTTTTACTTTCGTAAGAGTTGTAATTTTTTCATCTTCATTAGAAGCATCACCACCATTTGAGAATGTTTCGGAGATATCAGAGTCTGGTATGTTGGAAGACTCCTCAACCGTTGTCGCGGTGACAGTCACCTCATCAGCTGGAGGAGCAGCTGGAACTAACGTCTCTTCTTCCGTTAAGATGTATGCGTTAGCACCTACTATATCCCCATTCGTGGCAGCCATACGACCGACTGACGATACTAAATCATACTGAGTATTCTGCAGAAATTTCAAAAGTTGATGAAAAAAAATGTTGAGATGAACAATATATCATCTTTGTACGGTATAGGTTATCACCCATTTACAGAAGATAAAGTAACTTAAAGTAAATTGTATGCTTTAGATTCTTTCTAGTTACTATCCTGTTATCTTCTAGAAAAGATAATAATCCTACACTTGAGTTCATCTACTAATGTCAATGTAGCATTCAGCTTATTAACTGATACAAAATCATTAGGTGTGTTAGTTTACAAAATTCACCAACTTACCGCCTAGAACGTGACGAGCTTATTACAGAGTTATCACAGTGGAACATTACGATTTGCACGGGTGTTTTGCAATTCAGATTAATCTTTTAGTAACATGTACTTCCTGTTAGTATAATAATCAGTGACATGTAAATGAAATCACGATATTTGAACTATAATATTTACCAAAATGTCTCCTAATTGACAATGTAAACACCAAATATAAACTTTGCATAGTTTCAGAAAAGACAGATACGTATATGACTTACTAACATAGCATCCCGAGCATCATCGTGTTGCTTACATTCAGCTATATCTAAAGGAGTCATTTCGAATTTGTTCTGAAGATGTGCATCAGCTCCAAAACGCATCAACATTTGAACAACAGGTGTATGACCTCTTTCGGCTGCCCAGTGTAGTGCTGTCATACGTAACATATCCTTAGCACTAAGATCCGCTCCATTACGTAACAGAAGCTCCACAATATCTGCGTGACCCTCTTGAGCAGCTAAATGGAGAGGAGTACGATCAACTTTAGTCCGAGCGTCCCTGCTAATACCAGCACGTAGGAGCGCTTCACATGAACTAAGATGTCCATTCATAGCAGCGAAATGGAGAGGAGATATTCCCAACTATAAAGAAGTAATAAAAATTATAGCAAGCACAAAAAAAGAGAAGTAAACGAAGAAAATTCTCTTTCCGGCGAAATCATTTGTTTAAGCCGTACATTCGTATTTATAGTTGGGTTTTCTTTGCTGAATCCTCTTTATTTTTATTCAATGACACAATGAGTTATTATAGTTCTATATATGCTAACAACTTGATACTATGAAATACCATTCCTAGTCTTCAGAAATAACAATGATAAATACAAATAGATTTTATCACCTGAATCAAAAAGTAAGCCTTTTTATATAAAACATACGGATCGAGATTCGTGTATAAATTTTGTGTTTTTGGGAACCCATAGTATTCACTTGTGGTTATCCCCAGAACCTTATCTGACAATTTGATAAATCAGGACGATTAATTTTGATGTCTGGGGAAGGGCGATAATGATTGGTTGTTTGCTTAGTCAGACTTGTAGGATTTCTGATAGGCGTTAGATGCGCTATATATTCTCTTATCTTTATTATTACTGGATTGTTGTAGGTTTTTAGTGTGGAAATATATTTACATTCTAGTCAGACTAATAACGTACTCTTGATCTGAGTTGTGTTGAAGTCCTGTAGAATAAACATTTGGGGGGAATCTAATGTAGATATTCGTCTAAGACAAATTAATGTCCCATTCGTGTGGACGAGGAAAATCCGCGCGTTCCAACAAATTTATATTAGCACGATGAGAAAATCAAAATGAGTAGAATATAATGTTTTGAGGGAAATGATCACTTTGTAATTTAAATAGTCAGATGACAATCGAAACAACGGAGAAATGGATAGCTGTTTCTTTCCAGTATGAGACTCCTCAGAAGTCTGTACACAAGAGGTTATGGCGAACTGTCGTCCGAACTGGTGACTTTAAATGGCGTTTGTCAGGGCTGTTTACTTTTCCCATTTTAGAGATAACACTTTAATCACTTGACTTTTCAGGGGTTTATCTTTAACCAGACGATTCGCTCGCTGACGATATAGTTCTGTTTGCTGAAGACGCTGACAAAATCCAATCTTCCGACCAACTTAAGTAAAAATGGGAGTTTGTTTGAGATTCGGCTCTCTCTCTAAATGCAAAATGCTGCTTTAAAACTCGTTTGTGTTATCGCCTAAATTTATGATAGGGTGTGAAGTAGCTGGGCGTATCAACTGACTAACTTATCTTAAAAATTTCATCAGTCCTTCCGGGCTGGTTTATGAAGAAACCTTGGCACACATTCAGAAAGCTCAGTTTGCTTTTGCCAACATGAGCCACTTGTGGAGTACGTGAGATATCCGTCTACCAACCAAAGAACAATTTTACTATGGAACAGTTTATGGGTGTGAAAAACCGCCATTAGCAATATAGAATATTAGTGGGTTACCAGTATTCAACCATAGGTGTCTCCGAAGCATTGCTCGTGTATTGCACCCACTAAGCAATAGCGGAATCGGGAATAGGGTACTAGATGGAGATGGCAAATAGATTGAGGAGGTAGAAGCATCAGCATAAAGAGTGCATCTCTGTTGATTCCCTGAGCAAGATTCAAGAATGGAAGAACAACACACCGATCAACAACAGTTGAACAAGAGTAAAGAAACTTCTGAGACTTATAATGGACTAATATTATCTATATATCCTTATGGTATAATTAGATTGTGTATATTTATATTCATTTTATTATAAGCTCCATTTTTTAACTCCGCCTGTAGCTCTTCTAGAGTTACTGCTGGTCCCAAGCCCGGGTAAAGGAGGAGGGTTGGGCATAGGGTTAGCGTCCCCATCCCGTAGAAAACTAACTCGCTAAAAAAAACGCTTACCAGAAAAAATAAGTCCAAACGTTTTAACTCTTCCCTGGGAGTTAGAAGGTCTTCATTTAGAAGAATTATGACGCTTCATGGTGAAAGCCGAGTTCTTTCGGAAGCCACGAGGCCGATGCCCCTTCTAACAACCAGAGCAACAATCTTTATAGGTACATGGAACGTCCGGACAATGTGGGAGATCGGGAAAACCAGTCAAATGGCAACAGAAATGAGGAAATACAACTTGGCAGTACTGGAAATCAGCAAAACCCATTGAACCCAAGCTGGACAACAAAGGCTAAATACGGGAGAGATGCTGCTGTACTCCGGTCACGAAGAGGAAAATTCTCCACACACTCAGGGATTCACTCTAATGCTGTCCAAAGTAGCACGAAATGCACTCGCAGGATGGGAATCCCACGGATCCAGAATCATCAAAGCATCATTCAAAACAAAGAAGGAGGGGATCTTAATGAATATTATCCAATGTTATGCACCCACAAATGATAGCAACGACGACATTAAAGATCAGTTCTACGAGCAGCTGAAGTCAATCATAGAGAAATGCCCAAGAAAGGACCTCACCATTCTAATGGGAGATCTAAATGCCAAAGTCGGAATAGACAACACCGGATATGAAGATATTATGGGACGACATAGACTGGGACAGAGAAACGAAAATGGAGAAAGATTTGCAAATCTATGTGCATTCAACAAATCGGTCATAGGGGGCACAATATTTCAACACAAGCGTATACACAAGGCTACATGGATCTCACCGGACCACACTACAGAGAACCAGATAGATCATATTTGCATCAACAAAAAATTTCGAAGGACAATGGAAAATGTGAGAACCAGGAGAGGAGCTGAAATAGCTTCAGATCACCACCTTGTTGTAGCCAATTTAAAACTGAAGCTAAAAAAGAACTGGACAACTGGACAAACAGCAATACAAAGGTTCAATACGGCCTTCCTTCGAGATACTAACAAAATCAACGAAATCAAGATAGCTCTCAACAACAGGTTCCAAGCCTTACAAGAAGAAATTACTATGGAGGACAATTGGAAAAGTATCAAAGAAGCATTAACTTTAACGTGTCAATAGGTTCTGAGCCTAAAGAAACACCATCATAAGGAGTGGATCTCTATAGAATCACTGGACAAAATCAAAGAAAGGAAGAACAAGAAGGCAGCAATTAACAACAGCCGAACACGAACAGAAAAAGTTCAAGCACAAGCTGAATACACAGAAGCAAACAAGCAAGTGAAGAGAAGCATTAGAACCGACAAGAAGAAGGACGTGGAAGAAATAGCAAAGACGGCAGAAAAAGCTGCTAGAGAAGGAAATATGAAACAGCTTTACGATACAACGAAGAAACTATCAGGGAGATACAGTAAACCAGAGAGACCGGTCAAAGACAAAGAAGGCAAGCCAATCACTGAAATTCAACAACAGCGGAACAGATGGGTAGAATACTTCGAGGAACTCCTGAATAGACCGGCTCCAACGAATCCACCGGACATCGAAGCAGCAGTCAGTCAGTCAGCTACAACGTAGGACCAGGCACATATATGCATCGGTCCAGGTTGCCATACTTCATTAGCACAACAAGATGAACACCGAATTCATAGGAGTGGTTAGGTTAAAGGTGGTAATATATAGGAGAAAGATTGCATATAAGGAAACAGTATCGGAATATAGAATTAGATCGTAGAAAGAAAGATAGGAAGTGATTTTATTCTCTTAGTTTAAGGGAAGACAGTTCGCCATAAGCTCTGACTCGACTAGTAGTGTTCGAGTAGAGAGCCTTCACAAGGTTTATATACTTCTGAGGTACGCCTTTCAATGACAGACACTGCCACAGAATCTCGCGGTCTACAGAGTCAAATGCTGCTTTTAAGTCAAAAAAGACCACCATTGTCGGACGTCGATAAGTATGCCTGTGTTCTAGAACCTGACGAATGGTGAATATGTGGTCGATGCAGCCACGACCAGGTCTGAAGCCAGCTTGGTTTTCTCGTGTTTGCAGTTCACGAGTCTTAGTTAGGCGTCTGATTATTATTGAGGCTAGTATTTTAGATACTATATTTGTTAAACTAATCCCTCTGTGGTTGTCATAAGATGATTTTGATCCTTTCTTGTATATTGGAACGATAAGTGATTGAGACCAGTCAGATGGAATAACATCTGACTCCCAGATCTTAGCTAAAATATTAGTCAACCTAACCGCTAAAATTGGACCACCATCCTTAAAGACTTCTGGAGCCAATCCATCTGGACCAGCTGCCCTTCCTCGTTTCAGATTAACTATAGCTTTTTGAACTTCTGCTAGAGTTGGGGGACCTACTTCAATGTTCCATTCACATTGTCTCGGAATGAGGGATAGTTGTAGAGTAGCTGAAGGCCAGTTGAACTGTTCTCTAAAATGTTCCGCCCATCGTTCTAAACGTCTGGACTGAGAGCAGATGAGGGTGTCATCTTTTTCCGAAATAGTCTGACTTACACTTGACTTATTAATTCCAGTTTCTTTTATTAGTCTGTAGAGCTGTCTTGTGTTCCCTATAGCCGCCGCCTTTTCCATCTCTTTTGCTTTCGTTGCCCACCACTGCTCACGGTCGTTCCTTAGACTTTTGGTTAACATAGATCTGATTTGTTTTCGCTCTTCATTGTGTTCAGATCCTGATGGGATGATTTTACGAGAATCCATCAGTGCAATAGACCTAGAGGAAATCCATTGGTTCTTTGTAACCCTGTGGTTTAAATCACCGATAGATGTCACTGCTGTTTCCACAGCTGTTTGTATATCTTTCCAAGCAACATCTGGGTCAGCCTCGTTTTCAGAACTACCTAAGTGTGACCTCAGTTGTTCCTGGAACTTACTTTTGGTTTTCTCGTTACTCAACTCAGTTCTAATGGGTCTTTTTAATGTGGCGTCCAGTGAAGCGCAAGCAGATGCGTGCCCGCATTAGGGCATGGTCGGAGTCCAAGTAGGTACTCCAGAATGAGCGACAATCTTGAACCGACCCTTCCCAACGATGACTGATGGCAATATGGTCTAATTGAGTCCATCGTTGGTTTGGTGTAGGGGGTCGCCATGTTAGACGATGTCTCTCCTTATGCTTAAAATTTGTGTTTGCTAAAAATAAACGACTGTCTGAGCATAGTTGCAGCAGACGATTACCATTATCTGTTCGTTGTGCCGGTATACTAAAATACCCACCTAAATGCCTTTCTGTTTGGTTTAGACTACCTATCTGGGCATTAAAGTCACCTGCTACGAGTACTATGTCTGAACGTTTAGCTTTCTGAAGAAGTTCAGATAGCTTTCTGTAAAATTCATCTTTCATTTCATCTGAGCTGCAGTCGGTGGGAGCGTAGGCAGAAACGACAAAAAGGCAACAACGTGTGTCCCAACCCTTCCGAGTTCTTACGGAGCCGTTTAGCCGGACAGCACATAGAGGACTGTTGACGGGGATCCACTCTAAAAGTGCTTGTTCAGCCCTCATGCTTAGTGCTATCCCTACTCCTGCCGGTCCACGAGAGCTGGCCATCGGGTCACCAGATACACTGAGGGTGTATATCGTTGGCTCTCCGTTTTTGCCGAGGTGAGGTCAAGTGAATGACCACTGGGATTTTGTATGCGTGTTTCGGAGACACAGCATACATCAATGGTACGAAATTCTAGGGTTCTAGCCAAGGAAGCCTGCTGACCGATTTGACATAGGGTGCGTACGTTGAAGGCTCCAATGCGTAGTGTGGAGCGAGGTTTCAGTAGACCTGGGACAGTGTTTTGAGCACTAAAATCGTTGGCTATGGTGACACTTGAGGGGGAAGCCGAAAAAAAAGTTTAGAGTTTGAAGTTGATGTAGAAGGAATAATAGGAATTGAAGAGGGAGGTTGATTATGAATCCAGTGGTCTTGAGTGCTGTTAGAGGTATGAGGGCAGTTATCACTTCCCGGTTGCCCACACCGTGGAAGGGTTCTTCTGGAGGTACCTGAAAAGGAAATCGGATTAGAAGTGGTCTTAGTGACCAGGGAGTGTGACCGCAGTGCCCAAGGGACAACTGCTTGAGGTCGACCACACACGACCTTTCTATGGGCAATTTTTGTGTTAGCTCCGTACTTGTTGAGACCTTACCGCCGGAAACGGATATCCGTGGGATAAGGCGAGGTGTGCATTTTTAGGGTCGACCTTTTCTAACCCCACCCCTCCTTGTGGGAAGGCAGCATCGCTGTCATGCTGGTTGTCTGAAGGAAACACCTTACTGCTGCCACACCTCTGTACAGTCAGCAGTACGACTTCGCCTTCGGACCTTGGGTTTGTTGCTTTTAGTCTTACCGCTCTTTAACCGACCTGTATGACATGGTAGGACTTTGAGGAACGGTTGTTCCAGCCAGTATAGCTCGGTTGCTTCATCACGATAGGCAAGCCCGACCACCACGTCAAGGTAGCAACAACGGTCGTGTGTCGAAGCAGCACACACAGATCTTCCCATAGACGTCAATCCACCAACGAAGGAAGAAATCAGAATGGCCGTCAGACAAATCAAGAACGGGAAAGCAGCGGGACCCGACAACATACCAGCTGAAGCACTGAAGTCAGACGTCGGAGTAACTACAAATATGCTTTACCTTCTATTCAAAAATATTTGGGAGGAGGAACAAGTTCCGATGGACTGGAAAGAAGGATACCTCGTCAAGATTACAAAGAAAGGAGATCTGAGCAAATGTGAAAACTACAGAGGCATTACACTACTGTCAATACCAGGGAAGGTCTTCAACAGAGTGTTGCTGAACCGGATGAAAGATGCAGTAGACGCCCAACTTCGAGATCAACAAGCAGGATTCCGTAAGGATCGATCGTGCATAGACTAAATTGAAACACTAAAGATCAACGTCGATTAATCAGTTGATTGGAACTCGTCACTATACACCAACTTCATTGATTATGAAAAGGCATTTGACAGTGTGGATAGGAGGACGTTATGGAAACTTTTTCGACACTACGGAGTTCCTGAGAAGATTGTCAATATTACCCGGAACTCATACGACGAACTACAGTGCAAGGTCGTGCATGGAAGACAGCTGCATTCCAATTAAGGACCGGAGTCAGACAAGGCTGTCTACCCTCTCCCTTCTTATTTCTTCTGGTGATCGACTGGATTATGAAGACCTCGATATCTGAAGAAAAAAACAGCATACAGTGGACAGCTCAAAACCAATTGGACGATTTGCACTTCGCAGATGACTTAGTCCTCCTATAGCATACACATGAAC